GGTGAAAAAGTGTCTTATTTCAAAAGCTTCATTATACGCTTCATTGCTTGTTAAAGTATTTCAACATTCTTGTAGACTTAAATAAAACAACAAACAGTAAGAACCTGAGCGCTATTGATCTATAAAACGTTTATCTTTGTAACCTAAATTACAGGCAAATATCACACATTGTATTTACTCAGATATAAATTGTAATGTGGTGCAGTCTTCAATAACATTGTTTTGTCGATTTCGCCTCATAAATGCAGACCAAATAAATGTCGCAAAAATCTAAAACATTGTTACATGACTATTGCAATTGGCCTTGATTTGTATAAAGACTGTAAAGTATGCCTACAATTAACCTAAAATTTAACCCATAACAATTATCAACGCGGAAATGTCATTTATACAGAACAGTATGAACTAATAAAACACATGCGTTTTTCTTCTGTCAAATAAGTAACGCCAACTTGATGACTTTTTCAATTGAACACCCGTTACCTCCTACATCCGTAAGTTCACCTTACTCAAAAAACAATCTTCTACAAAAACTAACCTACTTGCATTTTCCCATATGTATTCTTTCTTCCAAATCCCAAAACGTTTATTTTAAAAACATAGTGATTATGTGAACATATGTAAAAGATTTATGTGGTACAATGTGATGACTTTAATTTCGTAAAATAAACGCAAAGCTATAAAGATAAAATTTTAACTGTTAGTTAACTTTAACGTACGAAGATATACTATAATAACGATGTTACTTATTAATTCAAAAAAGTACTTTTTTTCAATAATGTTAAACCATAGAAAGTGCAAAATGTCGTCAAGCTGACGTTGGACGAATAAGCTGTCTTCCGCAACGTTTATACCACCCACAACGCCGAATGACGAGGACTTGTAACAGTTGCCATAACAATGTTTTAAAAAAAAATTCCGCATCCATTTCGAACACACTTCAGTGGTACAACATTTAAAAACGTATTTTTGTCTACATTTAGACTGTTATCGTATTGTATAAACAAACAATAAGTTATACAAATCATAGTAAGTACCTATTATATGTTGAAAAGAAACTGAATACTGATTTACTGGAACTATAAAATTTACAGACAAGTAGAAAAAAACCAAATGCTGAGTGTGTTCCACATTAATAATCAGTTTTGATACTAGATCAAAGGATATGGGTAATTTAACAATGTACATACATAGTTGAAATAGTAGTTTCTAATTTTTACATATAGTTTTACAAACATGTGCATTATTTCACTGCCACTAAGATTTTTTCAACATAAAAAATCTAAATTCTTAAAAAGAAATGATATCCAAGTTCCATTAGACCGATCCATAATCATAACACATAATGTAAAACAAACCAAAGAATGTAAAATGTTTCCTATGAAAAAGTGTGTATTACAAACCGTAAGTGTCTAAAAACACCGGTCGATCGATTTCAACGACTATATACACTCACTCAACACACCCAAAATGACGTCACTTTACTGCCTTAATTCAAAAAGTCAAGAAAATACGACTCGGTGGACCTCTCCTAACGCCACTCATAATTCATTAAACATAGGGGCTCCAAATTGTAATTTATTTGGATGATTTCAATTTCGAGGAATGCTGAAAGCTCACCAATTAACGTGTTTACGCGACGACGAAAATACTAAATATTCACAAGGGATAAATTGTCTATCAAATTAATAAATAGACGCTGAATGATTTTACAGCGGAATGACAATTTATCATTAGGGAAGGGGATCGGCACGAGACAAGCGTTTCGTCGGTGTCAGTAGAAGCATAACGAAAAAGGATATGACTCAATCAATAAAATCTATTGTAGCCTAAATCGAATGAAATAGCGCAGAAAGTCAATATAACGAACGACAACGCACTACCATAACCAGTGCCCCAAGAGTCGCCATTCTTCTAATGGCATTACACATCGGCTGATTATATTATCCTGCATAAATTTTTTTAGTAATGATGTCTGCTGCGAATAATAAAAGGAGCTTATATATACAATGTCATCTATTAGATACTATGTTAGAAGTTTTTTTTAAGATGCGATATAAATGCATGGTGTGAAAAGTGTTATTACAGCCGCCAGTGGTCTAAAAAAAACCAAACCCTTTGTTGTCATGCATTTTAATGAATCCCTCAGTCATTGTGGGCTAACTACAGCACAATTACTATCTAATTTATTTTAATTTTATTCTATATACATGCTATTTAAATATCTAAAAATTCTCCTTCCTATTAGAATTAAGACATACATTTTTTTTGTGACAAAATTAGAACGGATACACAACCCGAAAGAAAATTTTGAGAACGTTGTTTTCAGTTAATTTGAAACAGTAAAAAGTGTCTTTTTTTAACTGACAACAATTCACTATAATCAAATGTCCACCAAATTAACAAACGTTAAGAAACAACACCAACTGCAGCAACTATAAGGAGTGATAGTGACCAAATTTATAAATTACACGATGATTGTTAAATTCCAGGATTATTTACTTCCCAAGGACAAGATGAGAAAAGCCATTTTGAGAATATCTCATTCCATGTTTTCTCGATATTTTGCAGCTTGCAGAATGTGAAAATATCGATCTCTGGTTTCCATCTGTCTACTGGCCATTACATTAAACAGATGAGATTTCAGACACTATGAAGCTGATTATGTACTTTCAAATTTTAAATATATTGTGATAGTGGCGTATGAATGGTAAAACAATAACGAACATTTGTCTGCACGTCCTCTCATCTTTCATCTCAAAATTTGGTTTTCGTGCTACGATTTCCTCAAAAACTGTAGAATATAATTTCAGAATTAAAATTTACTTACATAATGTGTTTCTTTGAAATTTGGTATCACGTATGACCTGTATGAAAACTCCAGTTAAGCAAATATACCTCTGTAACAGGTAACGATATTATAGTTATTTAAAATGTTTGTTAAAATAGCACCCAACATTTATTTAGTAATTATAAAGCATTACCAAAACTGTATTTCATTTATTATTTCATATTTACGCATATTAATCTACGGGATTTACACTTCCCCTTTAAATTGCTATGTTTACGTACTGTAAAGCTAGACATTAACAATCAACACTTAAGGTGATTAAAGCTACTAGAAGAGTAAAGTGCTATAATTATTAATTATGCATGCCATTTTATTTACGAACCCTCTTCAAAAAACAACATGACGTAATCTTAAAAACAATTATGAAGTTTTTATTAAAAAATATGTTTTATATCGTAGTAACACAGTAATACTCTTCAAGTTATTAGTTGTTTGCAGAGAATTCCCTAAAAAATGAGTGTATACGAACCAATCTGTTTTTAAATTTCTCAGGGAAATCTTCAAGAAATTATGATTACCGTTAACACTATAATAGATTTCATTCTTCGCAAAATTTTTGACGTCATCTCAAAATTGTGGTGTGTCCCTATTTCAGTTAGCAGAACTGCAGTGTTTTCAAAATGAAAATATGAGATAGATTTACGCAACACTCAATGTTATAATAAATTAATAATGTATGTATTCCAACACTGTGGTTAGTCCTTGATCAAGAACTTTTATAAAATTCCATATTCCATATTTAGAAACTTTTGAATAATTTATAAAATTAAAATTAAGCTACCGAACAATTTTCGCTCCAAGTTATTAGTAAAAATAAAGAAGTCATATTTAAAATCAGCGCTTTCAGGAACAGTTGAAGATATAAACGTAGACATAAATAAACAGAAGCTCATTTAAACTTCTACTCGTAATAAAAATGACTTTCAGGTAAAACTTTTTACGTCAAACGTAACGTTAATATTGGTAGATATTAGCAAATAACTGCGAGAGCATACTTCGATTATTTTAATATAAGTGTATAAGACATTTTTATTGTAGCATGCACATTATTAATTTACAATAATTACCAACACCTAGTAACTCCTTTTTTACAAATTGATGAGCCACATTAACATAAATTATTGCAACCTTCACACCTGCATGCTTACGTTCCTACAAAATTATGAAATAATTTAACGTAAAAACAAATTTCTGGAAGACATGCGGTACATGCATTCGATATCTGCATGAAAAAAAGTTATAAAATTCCGAGCTAGAATGTGGGAATGCGGCTTGTAAATATAAACGAAACCACAAAGTGACATCAATCTTTCTTCTTCACGCAATCCAAAAGTGAAATGTAACGTAAACATAACCTAGAAAAATCATCTTTTATTGCATGCACTTACGCAAACCATTTTTACTGTTTGTTTTTTTTTTTCGTTGTGATCACCAGTTTAGCCACACAAAATCAAAAACACTTAAAATAAAAACCGCACCTGCACACAAATACATATTTCATGTAGATAGAAATACATTTCGTAATGGGTAATTGCCCACGTAAAACATCAATTTAGTTAGTTATCAGACATACAAATTATTTTGCAAAAAGCTTCACTATCTTTCCCATTTTAGCAACACATTTATTTTATTTAAACATTTTTGCCATCAAAGGCATAGTCACTTTAAACAAATGATATAAATGTTATCAACCCATTATAAAAACGCCCAGTTAATATAATTAAAAAAATTAATTAGTATCTATATAATGAATATATGTAACGCGAAGCACGTTAACAGTTTCGCTAGACATTAGTTAAAAAATAGGCTACTAAAATTATGATGTCAAAATTTAGATTTGATGCAACAGATGTTAAGTATAGATTCAAGACTTAAAATATGGAAGTGAACACGGGTCGAATTACCATGTCAATTGTTTGGTAAAATGTATATATTCGTAAAGTAAAATCATGTACGCTACTGTGGTAAGTATAATTAAATTAATTGCGGTATTTCGTGAGTTTATACTTCAGTTTATTGACTATAATTTTGCAGTGTAAAATTTAAATTTCACTTTTATATTTTCATTTTAAATTCTCATCTTCTGAAGAAACGAATCTTTTTAAAAGGTACATCGAAACAGGTAGAAAAGCATGCTCCACATTCTTACCGGTATATAGAAATATAAAAATAAATGCTGAAATTTTGATTTCCATTTTTTCCTCGAGAATCACAAAACAGTAGACGGAACTATACGAAACCAAGAGTTATTACACAACCTTGGATTAAGACACCGTCCGTATTTTCTTTTTATTTTTTATTTCATTCCACAACACTCAACCACATACAAACTCGCCCGAAGTCCACAACATTCGCGGGACAAAAGCTGAATGTATTTTTAAAAGATACGCTTGCGCGTACGGAGCACGTAGCAAGTCGAGAAGGAACCTTCGGCTGCTCCGAATGCGAAAACAATTCTCCCACTTTTGCTCAAGAAAGGCCTGAGCTTCGCGTTTCTTGCGTTTTTATTTATGCAAACTTGTTATCGCTTCATACCCCTTAAGATTACTCATACTACGTGTGGAACAACCTGGTTCATGCCAAGTCTGTGCACGTAGTGCATAATGAAGCATAAACTCGATTGCAGTCTAAATTTAACAATGATCCGGTTTCGTTTCATATGGTCACATACAGGCGCCTAACAATAATATATAGTTCAGTTGAGAATTCGCCAGTCAGCAAAAGAAAGTCGTTCTCCATTTAATTATCTTAATCGTGGCTCTGACTTTCAGAATCTGATGAACCAATTAATCAAAGAGGGCACGTAAAATTCGTTCGGAAAACTGGCTTCGAACTCTTTGATTTTGTGCTCTCTGCATTTACGCAAAGCTCTCGCCTTTGACACAATCACGACCATATTATATTTCTCAAACGAACACTAATAGTAACATTATATATACATATACAGGGTGTTAACAAAAGATATACATTTAGTGGGCTACGAAATTAATTTTTTAATATCCCACCTAATTATACTTTTTGCTAAATTAATTAATCTATGAATTGGTTATTGTTTAACTTTGAATCAAATTTTAACATTTATTTCTTTAAACGACAAAATATGTTGAAAAATGTGGACTCTAGAAGAAGATAAATTTAATATCGAAAGCTATTTTCGGTCTAGCCAAGAGATTGATGGAGAATGACGATACTCTACTTCTGCCGCCAAAAAATTGTATTTTTGAAAGCTGTCAATTTTTTTATCAAGTCGGTTCCACGGCCCTCTAGTTGTAAATAATTTATTAACACCCTGTATTTTACTACATATGATTCATAAATTCTTAGCTTACCATTGTACAAAGGACAATTTGAGAATTAGGTAAAATATTTTTACTTTCCGAGGATCAGCTAAAGAAATAATGTAACAGTGTTCATCCGACGACTTACTTTCATGTTTTCTCGACATATCATGGCCCCTGGAATACAAAAACGAAGGGCTCGCATTTCCATCTGTCTGTCAATAATCTGTGTCGATTTTTGTTAGACGGAGAATCTCCGAGACAACCGAACCAAAGATTGTCAACATTTGATGAGGCTCCTCAAACATTTTAGTAACCGTCATTTAAATTTTGTAAAACAATATACTCCTATATATGTGGTTTATGAATACGTCTTGACTTTTTGCCCTAAGCATCCAGATTTCTGCAAAAAAAAAAAACAAATTTTATCGTCATATTTTATACCAGTATAAGAGCACTGACGTGTGCTAAACTGGGTGACAATTCCGTAAAAATATTGAGTTACAAACGCAAAGGTCGTTAACTCGATTGACTCATAGTTCACAATTTTTTTATTGACCAAATTAGGAAAGATTCACCCCATTTTCTAGAAAATTTGATATTATAGTAGTGTTGCGCCCGCGTATATTTAATAATAATAACACTAATAATAGTATATAGAAACTAAATTTAAATTCACTTTTGGAACATATTCCGGACATTAAACCGAATGATAGACATTCACTTCCACGCCAATGTTATTGTAAAAAATTTCTAGCAATTGTCGAAATAATGAACTCCTACGTTAACACAATAGTATATTAAAATACTAGTGTTACAATGAATCTCATTGTAATACGAGTAGTTTGTGGCACAAGTGGCGAAGTCATGAATGCCCACAATGAGCGAGTATTACAATGAGACATTGCAATACGTGTGTTTTATACTATGTTTTCTATTTCGTCCTTTTAAATTCAAATAAATAAAAGTTAGTAAACAATTAGTTATGGCACTTTCTTTCAGTTAGCAACACTAGGTCTGTCTAGGTTAGTGACATTCAATCACAGATATGGCAATTCAAACACCTTGTGGAAGTGAGGAGAAATGTGACAGCACTGAGCGGGATTTTGAATCCAAGTCTCATCGTTTGCCGACCGGCCTCTTATCAGCTGCACCCCCAAGACTGTGATAATCTCTCTTCACTTCTCACGTATTATTATGCCACCACAACTTCAATTAAATTTTGGGATGGAACCTTGCCACCAACCACACCATATCAAAAGTTACTACTTTCCGTTATACCAAATTGTCATTGTATTATCGAAATAGAAAAAAAAATCTGTCAACACTGTTTTAAATCTGGCATATGCCAAGAACCAAAAGGATGTATTAAAGGATCCTTTAGTTGCAAAGAGCAATTAATCATATCAGATTCCATCATCTGTGAACAAGCTAGGAAAGGAAAGAAAACAGAAACATATGTATAAAAAGCATCATCTGAAATCATCAATTGAAAGATTTTCATTTCCAAGACTGAATGGAGGAAGGGGATACCAGAACTTAGAAAATTTATACAATAACCAAATATTTCCTGAGACCCGTAGAAAGAAACGAACTGTTTCGCGCCATAACAAAGCCAGACTTGAACCACACATCCTTAAATCTATCCAATCCCGAAGAACATAATAAATGGACTAAAACAAAAAGAACTGCATGGAAAATTCTTCAAAGAGCTAGACCAAACTCACATCAACAAACAAATGTCATTGATTTGGCTCAAAAAATCAAGTTTATATGCCGAAACAGAAGGATTTCTGTTTGTATTCAAGACCAAGTATTTAATACAAAGAATTACAGAAAATATATAATCAAAGATCCAAATCTAAGAAACGATTGTTGTCGACTTTTGTAAAGAAAAACCCGAAACGATTCAGCACATAACTTCATCCTGTAGCATCCTGGCACAAATAAGACACAACAACTAGTGTACCCTCGAGCTTATCCGTCATTTTTTGATCACCCTGTATAAACATAAACAAGTGGCGCAGGGGCTCCGGGATTGTTATTTACGCCACTGTATAGCATGAAATGATTTCGGAGGCGCTCACGGTTGGAATCAATACATGATCGTTTTCCGGCTTGGAACCGTGTAAATTGAGTTTTTGGGCTCAAGTCATTTAAATTATTTACCATATTTGTCAATCAGTTTAATAAGTTCTAAGTTAAATGGTAAAATTCTGTTGTATAATTTACTTTTTTTTAAATCTACATCATACAGTTGAAAATAGTGGTAGGTTAATAAATTATGAGTAAAGACGCATACTGATTTGCACGTTGACATAACATTTAGAATACTAACCGATGGTTATGCAAATAAACAGAAATAAAAATTGGTCGAAAGTTGTTTCCCACGCGCCTGCAATACAATGATAATTTTTTTGAGTCACCCTATATATATATACGTAAATCCAAAAAATATTAATGGAATGATAAATCACAAGTACATCATAGTTTGTACAATTTAGATAGGATATATTCAGCAAAATTTTGGGGTGACGTCATCAATTTTTTAGGGGAATGAGCAAATACATTTTGATTAAAAATTTACCATGTTTATAACAACTTTAAAACATCTTCGAGATCTCAAAGTATTCGACTTTGTAGTTCTTGAGTAAATTAATTTTTTAATCACCCTGTATATGCAAATCCAAAAAATATGGATGGAATTATGAATCACAAGTACAGACTCATCATATTTTGTACATTTTAGATAGGATTTATTCAGCAAAATTCTAGGGTGGCGTCATCAATTTTTTTAGAGGGGATGAGCAAATACCTTTTGATCAAAAATTTACCTTACCTAAGATAACTTTAAAATATCTCCAACATTTCAAAGCATTCGGTTTTGTAGTTCCTGATTAAATCAATAAAATAAATCCACGCGTTCATTTTTTTTTTTTGAGTCACCCGGTGTATGGGAATCCAAACAATATGAATGGAATGATGAATCACAAGTACAGACTCATCATATTTTGTACATTTTAGATAGGATTTATTCAGCAAAATTTTGGGGTGACGTAATCAATTTTTTGGAGGCGATAAGTAAATATATTTTGATTAAAAATTTATCATGCTTATCATAACTGTAAACCATCTGCAAGTTTTCAGAGTATTCGGTTTTGCAAATTCCAAATTAAATTGCAAAATGTTGTTTCATTTTTTTTTTTTTCAAAAATCTGTACATCTACAATCTACATGTGTAGGAATGTTCAATCAGAATGAACTTATAAATAATAAACTCACAAAGGTGGAAACAGTACGTTTTGGCTCACAGAACGGACAAATCAAAAAAATAACAGCAGAAGAAGTGCAAAGAGTAGTGAAAAGACTGTAAATATGTATAAAACTTATTAGAGTCGTACCTACTTGGAAAACTTTTTAAGCATGTGTCTAAATTAATAGTGTAGTAGAGTCAAAAAAAGGAGGTGAATGATGAAAAACAATGGAGTTTGCCTCAGTAGATCTTATAGTAATAATAATAGTAACAATATCTAGAGTATTATAAGCGGTGGGCCCCATCACCAACCGAATGTTCATAATCTGCCACTGCCTTTGCTTCTGCTGAGCCAGGATGCATACCGTTAGCACGAAGACAATGAGTTCTTACGTACCATGTAACAAAGTTGTGTTTCTGGTGCTTTGGTTGATTTTGCCCTTTCGAAGCTATTAGTATCAAGAAGACCCAAATAAAAGACTTGCACATAATGTGGAGACTCACTTGATCTACATCGACTTGCCTAATTCATATGGTTGTCCATATATTCTTTATTCGAAAAGACGAAAAGTAGTGGAAAACTACAAGATAAGTTAGAAGTACAATATAAAGCTATGTATAAAACTATCTCAAATCACACCATGTTTCCAAAAAGTTCTGGTGACTTAAAGAAGAAGTTGAGGCAACGCGTTGTAGCAAATTTGGCACATAATAGAATACGTAATTTGCATGTTTAAGTACATATGTATATTGTTTGTTATGTTCGACTGAAAACCGGCTGAAATTTTCCAGTAAAAATAACACATATATTCCAGTTTAAGACAGACTGTGTCTAAATAAAAATTAGTATATATTTAAAACATTACACGCAGACTAAATCGAGTAAAATTAATAAACTATGTGGATCAAAATAAC